TTTTTAAAATTTTCCATAATAGCTACAAAAATTTCAAAGTTATTAGTATAATATATGAATTTGAATAATCATGAAAGTATATTGAAGACAATAGAAGATAAAGACAAAAATCATACATCGAAGTCTTATCTCAATAATCTTACCTCAAAAATATCATTACCTCAAATTAATCACAATGAGAGATTGCATAGAAACAATTTGTGCTTATAATGTGGTATAAAATAAGAGATACTTAAGTATGAGGAAGTAAGGATACTATGTAGATAAGGCAAGACTATGAGGTACGAAGAGAGCATAAAGTATGACAAATGAAAATGCTTTAGAAGTATGCTTTCTACTCTTCCATTTATTTCACTCTTTAGTTTCTAGTTTCAATTTCATACAATGCCAATATGTATAGAGGCTAAGGAATAATGAATATTACATAAATTCAATGGATGAAACTTAATTAGAACATTGAAAAAAGTTTGCCAATTTCATGAATGTGGTGGTTCAATGAATATAACGGTTCATTGAATAAAGTTTAGTGGGTAGAAGGATGAAGATGAAGCATCCATTCATTTGTACTAACGATCTGTTGGTTCAAGTGGAAGGAGGTAGGTTCCCTTTAAGCAAAATCTCGAGTTTAAGTATTGTGAATGGAGACACAAGGGTTACGAAAGTTTCCTCCTTTATGGGATCCAACGTGAATCAACTCCGGATTAGTTTGAGTCTAATATGACTTTTGGATACTAGCGAATTAGTACCCCAAAAAAATCCATTCATTTGTATAAGAGTAATGATAGGGAGAATGAAAATAATATAAAAAAAAAAAAAAAGCCAATTATTAAATAATGTATGTTCACCTTTTAATATTTTAAATGATATGGCTTATGCCATGTCATTGGTCCTAGATTTTGTTCCCAAATTTTCGTCCCATTTATCATTTTTCTTTGTATAATTCATAATAAACTTCTTCTTTTTTCTTCAAATAGCCAAAAAAAAAAAAATTTTCCCTTATCTTTTTGTTTTAGGAAAAGAAAGTTGCCTTTCCAAATTCCAATTGATGTAATTTGTGAAGTTAAATAAACAGTATTTGTAAAGTTGCTTTCTTAGACCTCATTTTGTACAACTTAATTTTAGCTAATGAAGTCTCCATTTGCATAAGAATAAAAAAAAAAAAAAAAAGTTGCTTTCTGGAGTTTTGTCATAGATGATTTTAATAATTGAACTGTTTAAGTATTTCAGTACAAGAATTCGCCAAGATGTGTCTACTTCTAGAATGAGCTTGGGAAAGTCATGGTCAATAATCATGTTGATGACTAATCTTGCACATTGCTTTGTGAAATTTTTTTCTTCTGTCTGTGCGGTCCCCTGAAGATATTTTTGTTGGAGCAGTGTCACCAAAGCCAGGGATGGAGCCAGAAATTTGAATTGGCGTGGGCAAAGTTTTAAAACTTTTTAGTGAGTCATTTAGGTTTCATTTAACCATATTTTGTATAAATATTTTTCACAATAACTTTTATAAAAATGTAAATTTATTATAATTAATTAATATTTTGTATTTGGCAAAAAAAAACTAATATTTTATTTATTTTTATTAATTTTGATTAATGTTTTATATATTTTTAAGATATTAAAAAGATGAAAAAAACTTTTTTTTACAATACAACACTGATAAATGAAGTCTTAATAGTTTATATTAGTATAATGTATAGTGGTTTTTAAATTGATTACTATTTTTATGCATATACCATTTCTATCATCCACAACAAATTTTATATTAACTAGATATATTTAACTATTTTTAAATAACATAGAATTTAATATCATTAAATAAATAGTATAAAAATATAATTTTTTTACAATGTTATATATATCAAATGAGCTTTAGTTTAATAGAATATAAGCCGTTCCAAAAAAAATCATATGTAACTAATGTAAAAACTTATATAAGTTTATCTCAAAATAACGAAATCTTAACTATTTCTATATGTATTCTTACCTAAATAAAATTATCATGCCT